CCCCCGCGGCCTTCCCTTCACTCAGCCCCTTGTGCCTTTTCCTTCCCTCTCCTCCGCCTCCGCTCCAGACTGATCGCACAAATCCAGAGGACATAGATTTAGAAAACGAACCCTGGTATAAATTCTTTTCAGAGCTGGAGTTTGGACGCCCGGTAAGTGAGGCTCGACTCTTACTCTCCGACAAATCAGCCGCTGGTGGTTTTCCGTAGACACCTGACCCTGCTCAGAGCGGATCGGGGACCCTCGAGAACACGTGCCGAATGCATCCTCGCCTGGTGCGCACGCTTAAACGTGAACAGGCGCTTATGATAACTACTTTTATCTCCCCGACCACCAAAGCATGCAATACGAAACCGTCACAGCTCATTGGTGGCAAAGTCAAAGTATTTGCGGTAGAGTGTGCCCTGGAATATCCGGGCAGTTATTACCACTTTGCAGGTTTGTGTTCGTTTACAGTCCGTTTGAGTCTAGTTCAAAAGAAAGGGGGGCACCGTGCAGTGGACGGTGATCATAATTGTCATCAGCATGGCTCCCTGTGCTGAGGAATCTGCGGGAACCGATGAATGCTAGATCCTGAGCCCCTTACCTCCTCAACAGAAACTTAGCGCCAGGGAGGGAAAGTAATTTGTTCAAGATCTCAGTGAGAATTTACATCCAGGCCTGTCAGACCCAAACCCTGGCCACTTGATACTATCATATCAGGGGGGGACCCCCCACCTCCCAAAAAACCGGAATTTTTTTTCAAAGCTATGTATTTAATTTTTTTTTTTACAAAACAACCTTATCACCTTCAAAGGACTCTCTGACACTTAATACATGTGTCAAATCTGCAATTCCATTCTTGGAAACATTTTTCAAACAAATCTGGATGGATGACATCACCTCCCTCCGTTTTGTTCTTGACCTCTTCAAGGTCGTCAAATCACTATCCTTTCATGCGTGAAAACAAGAAGTCACACAGAGCAAGGTCAGGTGAGTCAGATACAGGTGTGTGGGGCAAGAGAGGCATGCTGGTTTTGCCCAGAACTGGCACTCTCAGATGGCTGCACCAGCAGGTGCATTGTTATGGTGGCAAAACCAGTCCCCTGTCTGCCACAAAGCAGGTCTTTTCAGTCACGCACTGTTATGCGATCTTTTCAGAACCTCTAAATAGAAAGCTTGATTAACAGTCTGACCTGGTGGAACAAAGTCCAGAAGCACTACATTTTTGTGCACTAGAGAAGTTGATGGACATCCGGAATGAGGTTTGTCATCAATCGACATTTCGCCACTGGTACACTTGAGTTTTTCCCATAGCACTGTCCTTGGAAGTTGTGTTCAACCTCACATTGGTTTCAGCGGCCTTTTTTCCTGAGAAGGAAACAAAATTTCACAGCCATACCCTGTTCTCTTAAATCACCCATCCCCAAAAAAGAGGTTCAGTGAAATGTTTTTACAAAAAAATTTCACTGGGACCAGGGAGAACCTTCCCAAGTGACGCTACTGGGTGCACTAACTCAGAGCCAGTTGCTCTAAGCTCACCTAGCAAGGAAAATTAGTACGACAAAAGATATACCCAGCAGAGCTTTTTTACCTTTTTTTTGGAGGGGGGGTTACCCCCTCACATACTTCCAGAATGCTTCTTGCTCTTAGGAATATGAAGGAAAGGAGTCAGAATGAAACCCTATAGATTTTGGATTCTGGTCTTGCTAGTGAAAGTCCCCAAACCCCATTTGCTGGTGTCAACTCCAGCTTCACACAGCAGTCTCCTTTATTAGCTCTGTTTTGTTTAGGAATGGTCTTCATTATAGCGGTGCATCTGATAGCTGTCAGGTACTTAGTCTTATTGACATGGCGTGACAGGTTAGTCAAGATCAAAGAGCACAGTCTTCCTTTCATTGTACCATACAGTGGTTTATATAGTTGAATACTGAGTCCTGCTGGTGAAGTGGTTCTGCGATGGGCTGCTAACCACAAGGTCAGCAGTTCCAAGCCACCAGCTGCTCTGTGAGAACAAGACAAGGCTTTCTACTCCCAGAAGCAGTTTCCACCTTGGAAACTCCTAGGGGCAGTTCTACTCTCATTGACAGTGAGTTTGGGGCGATCCTGATCTTGAAGGAGCCCCGGTGATGTATTGATTGACATTTGACTGCAAATTAAGGTGGGTACTTTGAGGCCACTAGCTACTCTGGGAGAAAGACCTGGAAGTTGATGGCCATAAAGATGCCAGCCTTGAAAACCCTAGGGAGAGGTGCTACTTGGCTTTATGGGGTCCTATGAGCATAAATCAATTTAATAGCCATGAGTTTAGGGTTTTGTGTGTGTGTCTTTAATACTGACCTAGTGGTTATGCTCAATTGATGGGTAATTGTTTCCGATAATACAATAAAGGTCTATAGTTAGTCATGATACCATTTTGAACTGAATCAAAAGTGGCTGTAAATGAATGTAAACCAAATAAATTTGTTGTACAATGTATATTACCTAATAGAAGGGGAAGCTCATTTTTCCCATTTATTTTTCCAAATTTGTATCCTGATATAAACAGAAATGCATTTTATACTGAAAACGTTTTTTCCTCTGGCTTTATTTATGTGTTGTTACTGTTGACTAGCTCCTAGATTCTGTTCTGAGCTGAAATGATCAGCATTTCCTATAATCACTCCCATGCATAGAAACTTGCCAGCATGCTCTCTACTCACTCTGTAGTGTTTCTTTAAAATGCCTCGAGCTCCTCTCTGGACAGAGACTGGGAGTGCTAATTTTGATTTGATGGAATACATTTATAAGCATACTGATTGAACCACTGTCAAATTTACCTAGTGCTTGTGAATATTGACAAACTTTGCACTCCTAGGCTACCCCCATTTGGCTCCATTCATGTCCTTCTTTATGTGTATCTGATACTATCAGCACTCAATTTCTAACTGTTGTCACCTTTTCCACATGTCATTCCTTGCTGCCATTGACTCTCCTCCATTCCATCTCTACACTTCTGCTTGTGTGGTGCATCTACACCCAGCCTCCTAAAAAGGCTCTGGATTATGTTCAAGATCATTCTTCGGGTGTTTCCAATGAGGTAAAAACAAAACAAAACAATATATATATATATATTATTCCATTTTCCCCCAGATATCTTTCTTATGGGATGTTATCGAGGTTCTGCGCCTTCAGTATAATTATAGGATAATTTATAATTCATCATAATGTCTTAAGCTAGTTTTAAAATCTATCTATAGATCGTGTTGTGCTTCGTATCATTACTTAGACACTAATGAACCACAGTTGTTGGCCATTTCTATTCTACAGGTGATGACTCATTCCAAACGTAATTTTCAGCGAAGCTACTTAGTATAGTCCCACTTTCCAGCAAAGTGAGAGTCAAAAAGCAGAAGTAGTCATCATAATACATATCATGACCTGTTCTTCCGGAAGACTGAGAAAAATACTACTAGAAGGCCTTTCAGGGCCATTTTAGCATCACTCTTGGAAGTGCACATAAAATATTTTGATTCATAAAAAATAAGATGTTTGTGCCCCCCTATTCCTAATATATATTTTAATTCCACTCCTCTAACCACTCCCCATTTGTGGATTTTTTTCATCAGTCAAGAGTGGGACTGACAAATAACTGGTATCACAACACCCCAGATCCACTCCCTTGTGAGACGTTACTAATCATTCTGCAACCCGAACAGACACTATAAGAGACTTTCAATGGCATGTGCAATGAGGTGAATCAGCCACCTCTGTTTGGGAATGGTAATGACAATCTGGTATGTGAAAAGATTTTGGTAGACAGTACAAAATTGCGTTTGGTTCAGGAAGAGAGAAAATGGAAAAGGCAGAAGCCATCCAGGGTCTAAAATTTTTTACTCTGTTTTCTTCAGGAAAAAAATTTTTAAGTTATTTTGGGAAGCAAATTTGCGACTAATTATAATGCAGTTAGAACTTTTAAGCAAAGTTTAATCACAAGAAAAAGTAACATTGTTTTGCAAAGCATGAACGATGTAAAAGCCCACCTGCAGGAACTCTGAAGCAGCGAGGAGAGGAACACAGTGACCATAAATTGGTTTCATATAGTACTTTCTTTAAGTGAACACAATAGCACTTAGTAATGGGCTGATTTTCGTTTTAAAGTTGTAACTGTTAAACACAGGTAACTGAAAAACAACTAGGACACTTAATGCAATATGATGTACCACTGCCTCCTGGTGGTGGTTAATGAAATTGCAGGCATAGTCTCCACAGGAAATAGTCTCGGGTTTCAATTTGGGGCTACAATGATTGTCCCTGTGTTAAACTGCATAGTGTGTGCTAAAGCAGGGTCATGATGGATATATTTATATATTAAATATAAAACAAATTATAAAGTCATCAGCAACATACTAGGTTATTGAATTCATTCATTTCTAAAACTTTATATTTTGTGTCCAGCTATACAGTCTAAAGAAAGTCAGATAAAACCGTTCTCATCTGTGTGTTGTGTAATCTTCATATCAAATGAAAGATATAATTTAAAAATAAGAACTACCAAATAATTTGCTAAACAGTTTAGACAGATATTTCTCTCAGTATATTTGTTAGGATGCTTTAAGGTGCTTGTCTCATTAACACTGAAATTGAATTTAGAGATCATTGTATCCAACTCATTAATTTTTTAGTCAACAAAAATAGGGCCCCGCAATTCTGAGAAAAGTTCCCCAAAACACCATGTTGAAATATAAAGAAGAAAACACAAACCATAGGTCGGTTAGCATTCACTTCCGGGTTACTTCTTGCATGCCACAATTCTTCACAATTCCAAAATATGCAATTGGAGCTCAAATCTTTAAGGAGTAAATTATTGATTTAATATCAAATCATCTATTTGATATTACTTATGGTGAACACTGAATTTCTATCAAGTGAGTCCCTATAATTAACGTCACTCAATAATTCTTGGCATAAAGATAACAGAAATTTTATTCTGTGCATTCTACAACATAATGGCAGAGGCCAAAAGAAACGCATAAAAATGCACTTGACTGATGGTTAAACTGATTTGCTGTTATCTCTTTGGGACTATATAATTCTAATAGCACTAACTGTGTTACTCGTTTTAATGTAATGTGGTTTTTAGGGTTTTTGTTTTTTTGAATGTCATTAGACATTCTCAGAAGGTATCTGAAGTCTGTCTTTAAGAGATATAAAGATATAGATATAAAAATTTTCTGGTAAAAAAAATGGCATTTGATTAGACATGACCTTAGCTACCACTCATCGAATGCCTAACATATACCATGCGTTACAGCTTTTAATCCGTAAATATAACTGAGAACTGGCATTAGTGAAGAACAGTTATGGGCTTTTAAGCAAAGTTCAATCACATGATTGCTTAGCAGGAAGGGCATTTTCTTTCTTCAAATGGCCTTCTTGGTGTCTTAAACCAGTGGCAATTTAAATTCTAGATCAGAGCAAATAAAATGAGCTGCATTTTTCCTGGAGACAATTTCTATTTCAGGATGAATGCTATTGTTACACTTACCGGAGAAGTGTTTTCTCATTCAGCCCTCGAATCACCTATAACGTAACACACATCGTCTCCTTCATGTATACATAAAATCACACAGCAGTTTCCATTTATTTTGGAGAGGAAAATCATTGTACTTTGAATCTAACTCTGAAGTACAACTAGTTTATCAGAGGCTGAGTGCGCAGTTCTCACTGTGTACAGCACTGCCAAGGCTCGTCCCAGACTGCACTTCACATTTCCTAATCATCCTAGAGGTGCCTCCCAAACACCAGCAACCAGAAACACCTCACTGCCATTGAGATGCCCTTGGAGTGCTCTTCATTGGATGCCTCTCTGCGACCTCCTGAGGTTTGTGGTTGGCTATCACATAGTGGTTACCATTGGACTGTGAGCCTAAAGCTTGGCAGTTCAAAACCATCAGTGGCTCCATGGGAGAAAGAGAGGGCTTTCTACTCCTGTAAACCCTTCCAACCTCCGAAATTCACAGGGGCAATTCTACCCTGTTCCTAAGGCCTCCGTGAGTCAGAATTGACTCTGTGGCATTGGTTTGCTTATTTGGTTTGTTTGATTTTTTGGTATCATGAAGAAAGCTGTGATCTACCCACAGTTAGCACTTGGGGCTATCTCTTCTACAAAGAATGGAATTATTTTTTTCTAAATTTGAGTATAATTATCTATTTAAGTTTCTTTGCTTGTTTGTTTTTTTTCTTATTAGTATTTCTTTTTCCACCTTTCCAATGCACAAATCAGAGTTCAACAAATTAAAATGATGATGTAAACGTATCAGACTAACAGATCACTGCCTCCCCCCTCCCTAATTTTATATTTCTTGAGATCCTAGGAATCTAGATATCATCTAAGAAATAGCAATATTAAAATATGAGAGGTGGTCTTTGTGGGGAGAGGGGAGATGTTTTTCTTTATTTCTGGGCAAAGCTCCATTTGCATTCAGTAGGATAAAATTTAACAAAATGGGAAGCTTCTGGCAGAAATTTTAGAGTTATGTATAAGGGAACTTAATCAGATTTTCCTACATATAGAATTGCAAAACTATACACTAAATTTTAATGAGATTATTGATGATAATTTGCAGATAGGTATAGAATGAACAAAATCACTTTTTAAATGTGGGTTATGCATTGGTTTCAAACCTTAAGGTCAGCAGTTTGAAACCACCAGTGATTCCTCTGGAGAAAGATGAGGTTTTTATGCCCCTAAAGATCTACAGCCTTGGAAACCCACACGGACAGCTCTGCTCTGTCCCTGAGTGTCACTATTTGTCAGAATAAAT